CCATGAGAGTTTACGGCCATAAACTCTAAGGGATTCGGCCTTGGGGCCGTAAACTCCTCAAAGGAGTATTCCTATGCCCTAAACTACCCAAAGGATTAAACCACCAAGTAAGAGTTATTCTAGAAATCAATTAGCACTTCAAAACACCAAGTAACACCAAGTTGGGAGTTCACGGCCATAAACTCAAGGGTTTACGACCGTAAATTCCTTGTGTGGGGTTTATTGAGGATTAAACACTTATATAAGGCCCTTTGGTACATTAAACCCCTTTAGCCTTGTCCTATAACAACTTAGATGCAACCATTAGGACCTATAACACTTATTCAAAGTGTTTACATGTTCTTGAGTGTCCCAAATTATTTCATTAGTTATTATTTGGCTAATTAGTTATATATATGCTCATTTTATGATAACTAGGCTCGTGCGTGTGAACAAGTCTCTGTTTGCCACCTAGCACAGTATTCGACACTTCAATCCAATCCACTCACCGCATGTGAGTTCATACCCCTTTAATTAACCTTTGAAATACTTTTAAATGTTTTAAATACTTTATGGGGGATACAAGTTAAATGCTTATAGTTATTACATCAATCACATGTGATTAATAACTAGAAAACCAATGATTTTATTACTGTTCAAACTGTTTATCAAACTGTTTTACTTCAAACTGTTTTACAAAATCTTTTACTTATCAAATACTTTTATTTAAACTTTGTTATACTTCTTATAAATTGCATGCCCATATATGTATAGATATATAAGCAATGTTTAAAGGGCTTAGGAAGGTCATCCGCCCTATTTCCTTTTTCTCCATTTGGATGTGGTCTGGTGGGATTTCGGGTAGTCGTCCGAAGGTCGTTTCAATATTAATTATATATCAAATGTACACATATAGACATAAAAGTACTTCCATATTCATGCGTATTAGTCACGTCATTAGTAAGTTACCATCGGGGTAACACAGGATCATACTACTACAATTTCTAGATCAATGAGTCAGTTCATTCATGAGTCAATACTTATTACTAAGAGTACATATACAACTATACTAGAACGAGAACATATACAACGATACTAGAACAAGTAACATTACATTACATATACATGAATACGTTAACAATTGTGATCCACTGTATGGGAGCATGCCTTAATTGTCATGACCCGAGTTGTAGCCAGAGTCTCTTGAAGGGAGAGCGTGAGTTTGCGTATAGATCTATACTGGATTGACTATCCTACACCTGGCTGCTAGCTACAGCCGGACCGGCAGGTCTGCGGGTGCCAAACGTCATACCTTATTTTTCGACTATACGTTGTCGTTGTTACCAGTCTATAGTATGGTGCTATTTATCACTTGATACCTTAATATAAATCCAGTTTAAGGTAGTTAGTACAGCAGTAGTTCCTATAATACCACACTACAGTACTACAATAATTTACCAATTACATATATTTAGTGATTATTTCACTTAAACATTAATATACAAACTATATTTTGTTAAATGATAGTTACACTTGGGAAATTACACACTTTTACAACAAACGAGTATACAAAACAGTTAAGCCTTGGTAGAAGGCTACTTTAATAGAAAATATAGGTTTTTCTGAGAGATTCAAACTTTTACAAACATTTACTTACATTTTACAAACTTACACTTTAGACATGTTCAAACGTTTTTGATAACAAACATCGACACTAAAGTACTTATGAACTCACCAGCTTAATGCTGATAAACTCTTTCAAAATAACTTGTATTCTCAGGTCATCAGTAGACAGGTACCGAGGCCAGCTTTTGAGAAGATGGAGCGCATCCAAGACTCATCTTATTATTTTGATTTACATTATTTTTGGTGTCTATAACTGTTCAGAACACACTTGTATTAAAATTATATATTTAATGCAATGGATGATGTTGTTTGCTTATTTACATTTACTGTGTTGTGATACTTTACGTGACGTCCTCCGCCCCAGAACGTTTCCGCCGTTCTTGGTTTTGGGGTGTGACATTAGTAGACTTCGGACCATAAGGCCCTAAGGGTTTTGGGCCTGGACTTGCTGGTGTTTGGGCCTGAAAGTATCTTTTGAAAAATGTCATTATAGTTAGGCCTTTTAGGCCTTCTGGCCCAATATAGAAATGGACTCCACATGTGTGGGCCTCGGGCTGGGCCATTTCTTGGACTAAGTTGTTGTGGACCTTCGTAGGCCAATTGGAAACAGATTTTTGGACTAAGGAAATTATTGGGCTTTAGAATAAGGCGCATTAGAAAGGTCTGGGACAAATTTGGAAAATTAAGCCATTGGTTGATTAATTGGCCCTTGGGCCTTTTACATTATAGTTTGGGCCTTAATTTTGGACAGGGATAGGTTGGGGGTAAAATGGTCTTTTACCTCAGGTATGAAGTTATAGTAATGGATTAGGACCCAATTGTTAATTGGTGTCTTTTGGTATTGTTAGCTTGGGAAGTTGTCGGGGCAGTAGCTAGGGATTTCTATCAGAAAGCTTTTGCTTTCGAAGTGAGTCTTCTCATTATATCCATGGATAGAAGGTACCAATGACGGCCCATTATGTGTTATGTGGTATGTTAGTTGTTTCTGTAACATGTGGTATGCTAGCTATGTCTGTGATACTTCCATGGAAGACCTCGTGGGGAGCCCGTGGTAGTTGGATGTCAGACCATGTAGGGGAGCCCATGGCATCCCAGGAAAAGACCATGGAAGGAGCGCATGGCATATCAGATAAACACCATGGGGGGAGCCCATGGCGACTATATATATGTTGTATGAGAATCTGTGGTTATATGTTGTGTGGTATTTTGGGGGACACACTAAGCTTTGTGCTTATGGTTTTCAGTTTATGTTTCAAGTACTGTGGTTTTCAATTGGAATGGCTCGGGATGATTGTAGAGAACACACTGCATGTTTCCATTTTCTGTAAAATACTTTGATTGACTATGCTATGTTAAAAATTAATCTATCCTGGTTTTTATGTAAAAGACGTGTACTAACGATTTATTAATCTAAAAATAAAAAAATTTAAGTCATGATTTTGGGGCGTTACAATCAATAGCTCTACCCTTACTAATTATGTAGATTGGTTCAATGAGCTAACCAATCCTTCTATTGATATGCTATCTCAATGATACACACTCTTCTTAATTGTATTACGTTGTCTCAGAAAGGACAACCAGCGACATCGAGATCTTTTGTCTAGAAGCTTCAGATGCAAGAGCCATGTTTACAACCCTGAAAGCATGAATCTAACAACAACTCACCCTGCACCCAATTCTAATCAGTCTATTAATGATCTCCACCTTAAAATATCTAAACAATATCGAATACCAGACATCCAACAAACTTACACTGCAACTGCCTCCGACCCATTGTGGTGGAAGTAACCAAAATCCATCTGTCTGCTGATGCTTCGAGTAGAACACTCAGTCCTCCCCCATTATGGGCTTACTCCCTCATTGACCAACGTCCTCTACATTGAAGCCTCAAACTTGTTCAACAAGATACATTCTAAACACAATTCTTGATATGCAAAATGGCATATGACAATTCTTGAATAACAAGCAACAATCGCAAGGGAATCCTGATCTTGACATGAAGATGTCAAAACTTTCCCAACATTATAGCTTCCAACTCTTCACTAAAAGTTTTCTTACCTTATGATTTACGAAGAACCTAAAGGATGAATCCATGGTCCATTAAAACCTATAAATGCTAACATAATAGTTCTAACAATCTAACTATACAAATTATTATTCATTAAAGATAAAACCAAAGATCAAAATTCATACCTACGATTTCTTGTGATCTAACCTTGACCTTCCTTTGGGTGATGGGTATTAGGGCATGCACTCCCTCCGCTTCCCATTCACGATAGTCGGATTTGAGATGAGTCGGCTGGTAATAGTGGAAACACATCCCACCCTTCTTGAAGTCATGAACGACATGCCCTTTCTCTTTACACTTGTAGCATTTGAACTTGTCGCAACCAAACCTGTAGGTTTCACCACACTTTACGCAATAATCAAAGTCCCCCTAACTTCCAGTGCCCAGGTTAGCTACCTCAAACTCTTCATCTATTGCTGAAAATGTTGGACCATGAGCCTTGTTCCTTTTTCCTTGTCACGTTCCCATAGAAAGATCTATCCACCTAGTCATCTCAACAGTTAACTCCTCGAACTTGGCAATTAGTGATGAGAATTATAAGAACGATAGATTGTAAGAAACAACCATCATATGAATATATAGAAGATTTGATGAAAACAACGATGTAAATAAGATCTGTTCTGGTTAGAGGTTTTAGAGAACAATTCATTACAAAGCTTGTGTAGAACTATTCTATTTTAAGAACTCTTACCTCTCTACTAACTAGTACTCCTATATATAGGCAACGAAGGAGCACTAGAAAGGAATCCTAAGTCGACAGTTCAGAATTGAAAACCTAAGATTATATAAGATTCTAAAATCGGAATTACAAAAACACAAATCGGAATCTAAGAAAAGACACTAAACATTACAGACGCAAACAACTAGACACAATCTATTTCTGAATCCTAACAATCCCCCCCTTTGTGTCAAGTTGTTGTAGTAGTCTTTTCTTCATTTTCTTCTCTTCTTCAAAAACCTTCGGAATAGTATTCATTAAAGTCTTCTGAATGACTATCCTCCACTTAATCATATTTGAAATACACTTTATATCTCCTTCTAAATTTGACTTGTTTGCTTTAGCGTTTGCAACGATTTGATTCAGAATAAAAGTAGAATACAAGTGTTTATCTATCAAAAACATCATACAATGCATAACCTTTTCATCCCCTTTCATCTTGTAAGCAATTCCCTAAAGCTCATTTTCAATAAATCTATATTGAAATTGATCAACTTCATCAGGAACTGGGAATGGTTTCAAAATTGGTTTTTGTTTCAGAACAGCTACTATTCCCACATACATTTTTCATATTTCAAGAATATATGCCAGAATCATTCTTCTCAAAAACTAAAAAATTGGCTCATGCTTCACAACGATCTTTGCAACAATGTTAAACAAAGATATCCAATCATAAGGATTTAAAAATGGAATACCATCCAATGAAAGTTCATGCAAAGTTTGATTGTGACCTTTGTAAACCTTCAAAGTTACATTTGTAAAACCATCTGCAGCCATTGGTTTTCCAGCTTTCAATCCCACAATTCTCTCTATGCTCCACAATCCATACTGAGACTTTAAATTGTTTAAATAAAAAGTGAACGACTTCTTATTTATCCCTTTGTTGGATATAGGAGCTTTGCGAATAGAATCATAACACTGATATAAGAATGCCATAGCATTTATCGGAAAATCAAACTGACCGTCAACTTCATTTTTAACTGAGAAGGAGGTACGTGGTTCTAACCAATAAAGATTTGGATTATCAATGGCTTCTTTCCGAATCTGATCTATATTCCATTCAGGAAACATTGCTTTCTTTGCATCAAGAAGTTCCTTAACAATGTTTTCTGCTTCTTCTTCAACTTTAATTCACTTTTGTTTGTTTGTTTCTTTCTTTCAATTCACTTTTAGACATTTTTGAATTTAAAGTCACCATGTTTAGAAATAATATTTACTTTTCCTGTTCCTGATCCAGAACATCCATTACCCTTCTGACCAGTTTTCACTTGAGTGACATTCTTTAACTTCTGCTTCAAAATTTGTTTTTAAGGACTACTTTTGCTATTTCTGTTTTAGCCATCAATCTAGTTTCATATGGATTTTGTAATTTGACTTCTGGAATTTCTTCATTATTAATACGAGTTGCATCTTTATTTGGTTCTGGTTCTACTTCTTGTTCTTCTTCCTCATCCCCACTTTGTTTCATAGTACCTAGGCTACACATAACATACAAGACTTCATTTAATTTTGCAAGAACTGGCTTCATTTTTTCATCAATCATTTGATATGTATAATTAGTATAAGGCACATCTTTGATTTCAACAATTTTAACCAGCCTTTGATTGATTTCAAAATTTTGTCCCATAACAAAAAGTAACTCTTCATTTTCCTTGTTAAGTTCAATCATAGCATGCTTTAATTGTTACTTTTGAACCGTCACCTTCTAAGTTGATTATGCAAGACCATCCATAATCCCATTTTCATGAGCAAGATCATTTTGCGACCTTAAGATTGAGTTTGCAATGGATGTGTGATTATTAAAATTGTCTTTTTGGAGACAAAGCCGAAGATTAGATAGAGCATCCATCTCTATTTGAAGGGATAAACAAAATCCTTGAATGACTGTATTCACTTTCCGCCATTCCTATCAGATGAAGCTCGAAAATCAACCATAAAATTTTTCATTTCAAAAGCTATTCCCTGAACATCAGAAATAACTTTATTAATTTTGACTTCAGAATCTGCAATCGTTTTAGCGGAATCATCAGATAACTTCTTTTAATTTTCAAAGATATCAACATTGAACTTAGTAAGCATTTCAATGGTTGTTTGATGAGAAGTAATAACATTATGCCAAATTGTGGTAGAGAATGAATTTGTATGTTGAAGAATCTGATCAATCTTCTTGTTAAGCTCATGAAATTCTTCACGCCAGATTGGAGCAAATAACCCAGCCTCATCATCACTTTCAACCTAAAAGTTAAAATTTGGAATAGAAAAACCTGTTGGATAAGGAGCCTAAGTCCATAACTATATTTGGTATGTACTTGACTTGAAAGTAGCGTGGTCCATTTGGGTTGCATTTCACCGGAACAATTTGTAAGGATGGACTTTTGAGAAGAGATTATTTATGATTTATTAATATATTATAAGTTCTAATATATTAATATGAAATCCTATTATTTAATTAGTATTAACCAAGAATTAATTTGGAATTAATTTAGTGATCAAATGAGACTAATTAAATGTACAGGGTTTGATTTAATAAATCAATGATTCTTATAATGTTGGCCAAAGGTTATTTAGGTTGGGCTAAACTAACATGGTAGTCCATGGAGGTATAACCCATGGAGCCTAAGTAAGATGAAAGGTCATGCATATTAGGGTTTACATGGATGTAACCCTAATCCTTGTCACACTATAAAAGGAGTCCCTTAGCTCATGAAATCGGCCACTAAGTGATCTTTGGAAGAGTTATAGCCGGTTTTGTGAGCAAGCCATTCTCTCTCAAGTCCTCCATTGTTGGTGGTGTTTTGTGAAGCATTTGAGGCATCATATTTGGGGTGCTAGGCTCTTAAAGGTCTAAGTTATCAAGCGACAACAAGAGGTAAGTTACTCAACTAGTTTTTGTTGTCCATCTACCTAAGCTTTGTATGCTAGATTAGGATGAATGCTTTGGAAATCAAATTGCATGTATAATTAGAGAAAACATAAAACCAAAGCATCTAGGGTTGCATGTACACCATAAGAGTGTTAGAATGCTCAAAACCCATCAGTGGTATCTGAGCCTAGGATTGTTTTCTGTTATACTTTATGCATGTTATTTTAAAAGTTGAAAAAATCGTTTTTCTACATTCTGACTGGTGAACTCGCCGAGTCCAGTCAGTAGAATGGCTACTCGATGAGGCATGTTCATGCACTCGTCGAGTTAAGGGCTCTAGGTGCAGAAATTCGAGTTTTTGGCCAGAATTGGATAGGATCATTACCACAAATTGTTTTGAATCATAAAAATCTGTTTTTTAAGATATGGTAATAATCATGCTCATCCAATTAAAGGATAATTGTCAAATTTTCAAGATTTGTATTAGTTTATATGATTAGCTAATTTCTTGAAAATAGTTGATGTGAATTATCTTTGCTTATGATTTTTACTAGATCATATATATTATTTGACACTTCTTGATAGTTTAATTGTTGATCTAAATGCCTTTTAATGGACTCCATAACTTGTCCTCAAGTTATGAAAAATGAAAAGTCGTTTCCTTAAAAAGTCAGTAAACTCATAAGTTATGTATATGAAGAGTTTTGACAAGTTTTAAAACTTGCCCTCACGTTTTGGAATTTATAAAGTCTCACTAATGAAACTTTAGTTCCAAACCCTTGAGTTTTAATAGTTAAAATTCAACCCTTATACTTTATAATATTATAAGTATAATATATATATATATATATATATATATATATATATATATATATATGTATGTGTATAAGAACAAGTCATTCTTACCGTCAGTAGGCCTCATTCACGAAGCCATCTATAAGGGGGTATATGGTTACTGCCTATAAAATGGTGGTTTGATAGGTGTCCACTATCACCCACCGCTTCCTTGACTGGTGGAGGGTCGTTAGCCGAACGGGCAAGATAGGAAAATAATTCTCATTAAAAGTATAATGATAATTATAAAGTAACTAAGGGGTTTATTAAATTCCCAATCTTAGTTACTTTAGGAAAATTTGAAATTGATTCTAATCCATGAAATTGCACTTTGCACCTTGCCAAGTCGTTAATGGAGTGTATTGATGGGTTTGAGCCATAAGAACTTTCCTATGTGCACATGCAAACCCTAATGCTTGGATCTAGGTTTCTCTAATTGAACATGCATTGTATCCAAGACTTTGATTGACAGATCTAGTGTAAACATTCAATTCATAACATATGAAATAAGATCTAAAGGAATACCTTGAGTTTCTTGCTTGAATCTTCTTATCTTTGAAGCTTAGAGTCACAATTGTCACTCCTGTAATGGCTTACAAACACCAACTAGCAAGAGGATGATAAAAGAGAGAGAGAGAGAAAGGAGGGTGAGAAAATTGGCCTAGGGTTACTCTAATAACAAATGTGCCGATTTCCTCAGCCCCATGAGTCTATTTATACTAGTGAGCTCCTAGGGTTTCACCCTAAAACCCTAATTGGATAATTTTTTTTAAGCAATCCAATGATCCCTATAGATTAGGCCTTGGACGATTGCTAGGATCTTCCAAACCCTAAAATCGTCCACCCTCTCATCCATAAAGATTCATAGCCCAAAATACAACTATCACACATTTGACAGTTTATGCCCCTTTATTCAATTAATCTCTTTAAGTCACCAAATTAATTCCTAATTAATTTATGACTTATATTAATCAAATAATAATATTATTATTCCTTATATTATTCTTATAATATATTAATAATATTTCTTCTCTCATTATAAATCATTCTGTCAAGTTGCTATGGTGAAGGCAACCCAAAAGGACCATGCACAACCGCGTCAAATACTTGCCAAATATAGTTACAGCCTTAGACACTATTCCAACAGTCTCCCACTTGGATAAGTCCAGTAACTATATACACAAGCATAATCCGATTAGCAATCGTAGCTCTCAAAGACGTTGTCAAAGTCTGATCTTATCAGTCCTTGTCCTTTAGATAAGGGATCGTACAGTCCTCTGTTTAGATATCATGCAGACACAATCATAGTCCAGCGTTTAGTTTCTCGATCTCAGATTTATTCGACATAGAACTTAATCGAACACATCAATTTAGTTCTGACCGGGCCCGACACATAAGTCAAATCAAATCATCGAGTGGCCGAGATATCGCTTTTACCCTCTTAGGATAAAAGTAACAGATAAACTTCGACTTATATGCATTTACTTATTCACCAATCAATTATACACAACAATGTGTTTTATAACATCAATTTACTGATGCGGTTTTGCATTATCAATGTACAACCAATTAAAAAATAATAAACCATATATCTAGGTTTTAAGACAATATGATATTATCATCTTGCGATCACTTAAAATATATATATATATATATATATATATATATATATATATATATATATATATATATATACCTTAAAGTGATTTCAGCAAGTGCAGGTTTGTTCCAATGCTCAAAACTAGTTCATAAGCACTCATGAACATTGTAGCAAACCCTTGCTATGTCTAGTACCATTTAGACAATCTACATACCAATTCATGACAATCTTCTTTCATATCTACTTCCAACATATGAACGATTGTGGACCATTCGAATAATTCGATTATTCTTAATAACTTAATTATTCAGGAAGTCAAAACATGCAAAGTGAAACAATAGTTAAACAATTAACATAAGACAGTAACTTTACTTATAAATAATAATCCTTTATTTAATCATTAAATGTCAATTACATTTATCTATTACAGGTTTCTAAAACTATCTAATCTAAACTAATATCATCCTTCAGCCCAATACTCCTAGCATGCTGCAAATGCTTGACCCTACTCAGTCCCTTCGTAAGCGGATTTGCTGGGTTATCTTCTAATGATATCCTCTTAACCACGAGGTGTCCTTCTTCTACTCGATGTCTAATAAAGTGATATTTTCTGTCGATATGTCAAGATCTACCATGATCCCATGGTTCCTTGGTCAAGGCAACCGCTCCTTCATTATCACAGAAAATTTCCATAGGCTCCTTTATGGCAAGCACAACTCCAAGATCACCAATGAAGTTCTTCAACCATATTTCCTCGTTCGACGCTTCGCTCGT